ATGAATATTTGGTGATTTAGACACCGATTTTTATTAAATTTGTTTTTTAGCTTCGATGCGAAGCTGAGTAGGTATTGGTTTTACTATGATGTGTTTTTTTTTTTATTATTTTTTTTTTTGTGTCTGTTACCACTTTTACTCAGCTCTCACCGAACGGATTTCTTTCAACGATACGTCAAAAGATCACAAATTGTATCTAGTTGAAGACATTACCCTCAAAAATTGAAAAAATTTCCCTCGTTCCCCGTAAATGGGGGAAACCTCCAAAAAAATTACAAATTTAAAAATCGCTAATTTTCGAAATTTTTTCAATTTTTTTTACTAAACTCTGCCATAACTTTTTTAAAAATGACCATATCAATATAATTTTTTTTTATATAGATGCTTGATATCTCTATCTATCATTTGGTATATATTTTTTTATAAATCTGACACTTAACCTGCCCACAGGGGGTATTTAAAATGACATTTTTTTCACAAAAAATTAACTTTTTCAACTTAACTTTTGAAAATGTTCCGGAAGATTTGACACTTTTATATATATATTAAATTAAAGCTAATGCAATGTACTTTATTATGAAAAAAAAAATTGATCTCTGGACTTGCCTTCATGGTGAAAATGGCTACTGAATGCTATTTTTGTGTGAAAATTCTCGATTTTATTTTTTACATTTTTAACTTTATAATGCTATAACTTATTAAAAAGTGTATGGACCAAAACAATTTTTTTATGAAAAATAATTTTTTTAATAATCCCTTTTTCATTCGACATACTTTATCTTAATCAGGATATTAATAAGGAACTAGCAGATCATGTAGCTTTTAGAGTAATCCACCAATTTTTTTAAATTAAACACTATCTACAGATTTGCTCGAAGCGTTTTTTATGATAGTGATTTTAATCACTATCAGATATCATTATACTTGATACAACTATGCCACGTCACCACTGTGCCGCGATCCCCCTGTGCTGGGTTTTTAACAAAAATTAGTATATTTACTTAAATTAGCAGTTTTACTTTGTGCCACTCATTTAAAATTATTGCTGATTTGGTAACGCATACCTATACACTACCGAATTCAATCTTAACTTAAGATTGAAAATTCAACCTTTGCAGTTTTTTATTATATTTTCCTATAATTTTTATTTTATATTTTTGTACAATTAGCTAGTAGAGTACGATGATTTTTTGATTTTTAATAGTATGGTGAGGTAGCTTAGGTAGATATGAATTAATAATTCAGCTTTTAGTTTTGATAGCTGGTAACAAAATTTTTAGGACCATATCTAATATAATATAGTATAAGCTTTTTCTATTGAGATGCTTTGTTAGTGTGCCATTGGTATGAGCAGGCATGTAGCCAGAAAATGTTTATTGGAGGGGTCAACAATTTTGGGCCCTTGTATCATTTTCCATGATTTGTTTCCCATACTTTGAATCTTACAAGTTCAAAATTTTACCACTGGTTGGTTAAAAACAAATTGTTTTCGTATAAAGTATACTAATTATTACAGTATTATAAAAAATGGATAGTACCTATAATAAAAAAAACAAAAAAAAATACTTACATCTTCACTATCGGGATGAATTTTTGATGTTGTGAAAAATAAATAAAATAATGATGTGACCATAAGCTGATTTAATTTTTTAAGTTTTTTTAAGGTATTAAGAAAAAATAATTTATACCTAAATACTAATAACAAATAAGTTATAAAAATTTTTAAAATAAATATAAATTATAAACAATGTAAAATTTATTTTATTTAAAATTGAAAACAATTCCAGCCTTTTTTCAGTCATATTTTTATTACTATTATTTAGAGCACGCAAATACCAAATTAACAAAAAACAAATAAATTACCTATAGTAACTACTAAATTATAAAACAAAAAATAGATTAAAGATAAGATTTATCAAAAAATTTTGCATAGAGTATACTCTATCGAATTTTGTAATCAACTAGATTCTAATCAATGCAGATACTTGGTAGTTTGTTATCATTTGTTGGACCAGAGTTAAAAAAAATTTACCTACAACCACGTTTGGAGTAACTGCTATTCCATTTATTATTACGTCTAGAACGTTATCTTTTTCAAATAACGTTTTCTATGAATATAAAAATGAAAATACAGCCATAATAATTACTGTATTACTCAATAGTAATCACAAATTAATAATAATTTCAATGTATATAAGGCCTAGCACATATTTGATAATTCGAAAAATAATTGAATTTTAAATTTGGGGGGGCCGGCCCTGGGTCACATTAAATCTAAGGGGGGCCAGGCCCACCCATGTCTACGCGTCTGGGTATGAGTCAATCATTAGTGTTGATAATCATTGTATTTACTTTTTATAATGTTTAAATATAACAGTTATTTTTTATTTTGTTATCAATTAATTATTAACACAATTCATTTATTGGTAAGTCGTCATTGAACATTTTTACATCAGAATGTTTGTCTAGTTCTACGTTATTTTCGTTTTCGGCACATAGATTGGAGTTTAAACCAGCCATACTAAAAAACTGTTGGAGGAGATTTAACTTTTAATTTTTACACATTTTCAAAAACAAATATCTTGCCAAATGCACTTCTTCTTAGTATTTTCAGTACTTAGTATTGTAGATGGAAACTTTTAATAAACCGCCAATGCCCTTTGATAGTATACGTGTGATGGCTAATATTAGTGTCTTTATAATATATTGAATGTGCTATGGACCAAGTATTTGATCCGCATGTAATTAAATCTTTATTTGTTCTTGGATTCATTCTTGATGAATCTTGAGAGTAATGGTTCTGGTTGAAGCCGTAAGGACAGGTAGTTGAGAAATAAATAAGAACATTTAGTTGACTTATAAGATATAAATAATATTTCAAATGAACATAACACAAAAAATGATCCAATGAGTAATTGCAAATATTATTTTAATAAGCATTTAAATATGTATAGAAATTAATGACGACATTGTTACTTGTAAAAACTAGACTACTAGACCATACCGGAACACTAGACTGTTTGTCAATAAACCCTCACGGCTTTTATAATCCATAATGATTATTGATTTCATCAATAGTGACTTTAAATGATACTGAAAGAATTTACCATATTTCTTTGTTGTCTAAAAGGCTTACCAATAAAATAGTTGAACACCTTGTCATGCATGTAACGATTCAGATGGTAACATGAAACCAGATGATCATGAGTCCATCTATTGGCACATAATAATTTATACATGCTTGTATCTAATTATATAAAAAAATGTTGTTAGTAATATGTTATAAAATAATCTTTTTATTTTCTTTCCTTATACGTTTACGCATCTAATACACAATTGAAAAACTTACTTCTCCATATTGCAGGTAACTACTCTGGTATATAATGATCAATATTAATAATTTTTTAATTTGTAGTTAAAAGTTTTATTTGGTTATTAACAAAACCGTACTGATGTGAACTTATAATATAATCTAATGATGAAGCTCTTAAAATCTTGAGTTAAGAAGGGTAACAAAATGTACATAAGTAGAAATTTAAAATTATTTATTATAAACACTATTGTCAATAATGTATAGTCTTTATAAACGTTTATTAATTATCACAACAACTGGCATGCATCATATTATTATCGCACTAGGGTGGCGGCAAACATTACGATTCACGCCGCCATTATCAGGGCAGTTACACGACCTATAATTTATACTCCATTAAATAGTTTTTACATTATTGTATGTGGCATAATTGACCTAAAGAGCGATTATATGACGTAACATTTGTGATGCTGCTGGTTGAGGGACATACTTTGTTGTACACGTCACATCAACAACGACGTGCCGCGACCTACAGCTGATCAGCTACCCTCTATCAACTCACATTAAAATCGAAATTTCAACAATTACACACTCTATTTACGACTTTTAGATAACATTAGACACTAATTACCTTGGCAGCATCCTTTGATCCCCAGAATCCGCTATTTCTATACTACTTATAGTGTTAATGTAGTAGAAGAAGACTAGTTATCTTTTTAAAGCTAATGGTTCTTGATGACACTGAGACTCTTTCAACGATTTCACGCTTATATATCCAACAAAATCATAAATTATTATTGGGGGAAACCAACAAATCATAGAACACAAATACCTGTATCTTAACCACCTAAGTATTTTTACATAAATATCATAATTAATGTGTGTTCGTGAGATCATCACTATTAGTTCGCCCAATGGTATTTGACACGGCACCGCCCGTCGCTTTAGGCTGGCGCTCACCTGTGTCTCTCGCGATATCAGCCGCCCAGCTATTAATATGACACTCGGTTGTCTCCCCGCCCTTGACACCGAGATAAGGCTGCCGCCGAGTATGGATTACGGATATTGCGTTCTGTTGCGTTTCGGACGTAAACCTAGACTGGTTTGCCTTTCTTTTGTGCTGTTTTTGTGTTTTCTTGTTTTCCCTTGTTTGTGGATTGCGACGAGGGTGGTCACTACGAATATCACCTACAACATCGTTACATACGTATACGTACATTGTTCGAATTAAAGAATATAGTTAATAATATAATCATCAAATATTTTCTTCCAGTGTTGTTCTTTTTTTTACTGTGGTACTAGTTGTCAATATATATATATACGTATACCTATATATATAATCCATATACCTCGTGTGCCGTATCATTTGGATACGTTTTAACTTGCTCGTTGTCAATATATATCTACATATACTTATATTATATATATATATATATAATACATATACCTCGTGTGCCGTACCATTTGGATACGTGTTATATTTTAGGGTATCACTTTTACGCCAACTCCCTTATCAATAACAGATAAGAGAAATTATATATGTAGGATGGTGTATATATATTGTTTATCACATTATATGATAAATATACGAAAAATAGAATAAATATAATTTTAAATTTTATTTACTATGCTAAGAGTTTAGTTTATTTGAGTTATGTATTAAAATTAAACTAGTAAGATGGGACGGTGTGGCCGAGTCAGTAACGCGGCAGTGCTTGACGTGCGCTGCCTCGAGTTCGAAACTTGGTCACGGGCGGCTTCATTTGCCGAACGAGAGATCAGTTCGGTAATTGGAGTCGCCATCCCACTCTCCGGCGACAGATTAACCACCCGACCCGGAGTATAAATGGTTAAGAAAACTTCCTCTTAGGGAGAGGTCACTATGGCCTTCAATGGACTAATAAAAGCAAAAAAAATTTAAATTTAAATTAATAATAACACAAATTTTTATAAATATTAACAAACATATACTGGATTACATATGAAAATTAAATAAAAAGTATGTAATCAATCATATAACTTGGCAGTGGGTTTTTATTTTTTGTCGAATCTGTAGCATTTTGATTATTTGTTTGTTTTGTGTTGTTAACATTGTCATGATATAACGTATTAATGGTAGTTTTTTTATCATCAACAGATTCAGAATCCTCTATATTATATATTTCAGTATATATATTTTGACTGCATAAACGATCTAAAAAATAATTAATAATAAATGTGATATTTATACTATAAAAATAATTAATAAACTACTGTAGTAAAAAAAAAATATATATAGGAAATAATGTTTGAAAGAATTTCAGGTTTCTTGTAAACACTGACTTAAATATAATTAAATATATAATTATATTTAATTACAAAAATATTGACACAATGTTGTGTATTATTGACATATAATTTTAGTAAAATTACTCAGTAAGATCTAATTCTGTATTTAAAATCTATTATTTAAATCATTTTTAGAAAAATTAAGACCTACTTATCATAGTTGGTATGGGATTAAATAAATCTTTACAAATAGCAACAAAATATAAGAAATTTATTTTTCGCGTTTTATTAACTGTATAAATCGTTTCCTTGTATTTCTCCAGTTCAATTAAGTATGTTGACTTTATATTTACAAGCTGGACGAACTCGTTATAGATTTGATCAACATTATCACATTTAATTGTAATATCTGATATTATACCAAAGTAGTTATTTAATTTATTTTTCTTCAAAAAGGCATTCGTAGAAGACATTATGCTATGAACTGTATTGCAAGATATTTTATTCTCAATGAAAACATTACATATATCAATACTAAGATTATCTAAATAGGTTTTTGGTCGTTTTTGAAACAGATTTAGATTATTAAAATATTCAATTTGTTTGATTATCATAGTACCAATTTCAGACATATTGTTACGGATTTCATTTAAATTTTTATTTGTATTATTCTTGTTACAATCGTAAAAATGAATAAATATCTTTGAAAATGAAGCATACATACGGACAAGTATTAAGATTGGCCGAATAGTTGAAGCTAAAACTAGCTCTTGATATCCTTGTAATTGTTTCGAATCAAAATTATATTTCATGAAACGAAAAACATCAAAAAGAGTCAAATAAGAATTATCGGGACACTTATATTGTAGTGGTGCAAACTTAAAATAGTCTATAACGTTAAGGGCTCTATGTTCTTTTACTTCTGGTAATTTTCTACATTGTATATCTGAAGTAAGATTTCGTTCATCAAATATTTGATGCCCCATCATTAAATCGTAGTATATNTCATCAAATATTTGATGCCCCATCATTAAATCATAGTATATCAATTTTTTAGGATGGAAATCCCAGCGAGAGTCATTTTCTAACGCTAATTCTAATATTCTAAATACTTCACTATGATTTAATTTCAATCTTTCATCTTTGAGTCTTAATTCATTAACAGACAACCTATTTTTTAGTTTTTCTACAATTCTAGGGAGAAATTTAATTCTATAATCTTTCATTTCATTAAAATCTGGACAATTTGTAAATACCTTATCAAAAGATATATAATAACATGATTTATACACAAAATTTTCTAATCGCTCTACCATTGCTTTATGTATCATCAAAAAACCATTTAGTAAATTTAATTTTCTATTTGATTTCTCAAATTTACCATTTTTATTTTTAAAGTTCATCTCTACAGATCCTGAAACGTTATTTAAGTATAAATTTACATCCATTAGAGTTGATGGATAATTTGGCCGCACTTCCGACTTAAGAGCTTCTAACATCGCAATTACAATTTCGCCATGAGATTGTATAGCTTTTCCATACATTTTTAAATCGCGTTTTGAAATATTTGTTTTATCTTCTTCTAATTTTAGTAAGTACTTTTCATTATGCTTAAAATAATTCAAAATATACTTAGAAAAGTTGCAATTTAACTCCATATATTCCATTGCTGTAGAAAAATTTATCATAAGTACAAAAATATAAAATATTTTACACTGAATCATTTTAATAAGAAAATACAAAAACCTATTATATTCTTAGAAAATCTTATTATTAGTGTACATGATTTTGATCGTTGGTATTATGTCAATTTATATATATATATATATATATATATATATA